AATATTGTTTCAATCTCCAGAAGATGGCTCTGCTGGGCATTTGGGGCATAAAGCGGACAGGAATTCGAACGTTTGCACGGACAATGTGTATACATATATGTAAGAGTAAATGGCAATATTAAGTAAATACAAATATCACAGTAAGTGAAGGGAGGTGTGTGCATGTACGAACCAAAGTATATCCACAGATGGAAGGACTCGTCGCTATCCTGAGTGCATTTATAATCCCCGTCGTGGCTATCGGTGGCATGCATCGCCCGGAGGGTGCTGCTTCCGGTTCCTACCGGCGACTGGACGGTCAGCTGACCACTCGCCAGCTCTGGTTCCAGCGACTGTCCATTTCTGGTCCATCTGATCAAATTGTCCGGCTTCAAGTCTCTACACTCGATCGACCAAGGCTGATTCTCGTGCACGACCGTTGCTCCCTTGTAGGTTACTTTATCGGGAAGAACATACGAGCACACATCAAGAGGTGACAGGGCAACGATCACTCGGTGATAATGATTGGTATAAACATCTAGGGACTTTCACCGTATATATTTTTGCTACGTTTACGACAGGATTTTTTCAACCACGCGAAGGATGATTACGTGATCGATCAGGATTTGACTTTAGGTTCCTAGTTATTGAACCAGGTGGCGCCTGTAAGTATATCAACAGTCGTAGTATTCAAATCTTTTTTCCCTAGCCCAGTGTGCTTTCTAAAATTTCTCAAGAACGTCCCTAGAATCGAGAACGACGGCTGAATGCAAAAATGGATGGAAAAGAAGGAATCCTTTTGCTATAGGTGCGTCGAACAGAGGGGTCTGTTCACCTGTGTTTCGGCAGAAAATAGAATTCTAGTCAGTTAAACACACAACGGGGATTCGAAACCGACTGACGCCAAAATGTCAATCACGGTGATGCAGCAGCGAGAGGTGGAGATCGGTTAACGAACACGGGTTGATCAGGTTCCGCGGGACAGAGGACACACCGAGGCTCGACGATTCCTATTTATTTTTAGCGATTTATTCTTTTACAACTCTGTCGTCCTCCGTCGTGTGGACACCAACAGATGAAATTGTAAATACAACACGCAGGCTCAGGGGAAAGAGATAGATGGCAATCGCGAACACGTCGGTGGCTGACCTATAAAAACGGCTGTGCTCTGGCTTCTGTCGAACAATTTAAGAGTACACACTGCGATCAAAAAACACGAGAGAGAATTGATGTCTGTTTGCAGTTTAAAAATATACACGTACTTACAACTGTACTTGAGATATAAACTATATTTTATATTTCAACATTCGAAGACAGTCACCGACCTTTCAATCAAGAACCAGAGCAACAAAAAGCGTAAAACGTCGAGAGCCACAAAAATTCGTACATAGGAAACGAATAAATAAATGAAGAACAGAGAGTCGAGCCACTCTGTATTTACAAAGTTGCAAGTGTCTAGAACAAGGAGTAGGATGGAAAAGAGATCAATAGTACGGCGAACACGTGCCACATGAGATACCCTAAGTATCAGAAGTAGACTATATATATATAGTAGAATCGTGTGTGTTCTACGTAGCTGGCAGAAGGAGGTTGAGAAGCTTATCGTTCATTCGTAACTCAAACTGTTACCACTAGAATCTAACCGTGTACATACTTGGTAGTAGCACCACCGACGAAGAATTGATCTTCAAAAATTTTAACGTCAGCAAGCTCGACTTTTGGAATTTTGTCGAACACTTGAAAAGACAGATATTGTAAAAATCGAACGTTCATTGCTTCAGACAGAAAAGTCGAAATTCCAGTTTATTCAATTTTCAAACGTAATGTTCTTGTTTCAGAAATGAACCTGAATGTGCGATATTTTACTCGAAGTAAAAATATTTATTTTTGTACTCGCGTGGCATAACGGATTCCCTGAAATTGTAACACAGCGTTATTTTTTTGTCTGATTTAGAGCTCTACGAGGCGAAGTCGCAAGAACTGGTGGAAATTTTCGAACGCCTCTTTATGCAGAAATATAGAGAACACGATGGAGGACGCAGGAATTGGGACGCCCGTGATCTAGGGCGCAATTTGGCAAGTTAGAGTTACTCGCAAGATGGAGCACAAAAGAGAGCCAATGCTCGTAAACACGTTCTACTATCCTGACGATGCCAGAGGTCGAAAATTTCCAATCATTGAAATGATATTAAAGCTATCGAACTTTTCTCATTCAGGAGAAAAATGATGTCAGTTTATTTGTAATCAGAGATTTCAAAAATTTATTCATTCGATTTGTTTGTTACGAAACTTTCAATTTTAGACTTTAAAGAAGAATGGTATTCTGTTATATGAAGGGAAAACAAATGAGCAAACTTTACGAAAGATAACCAAACACAAAATCCATTATGAAACTTAGAAGACTAACGAATTTCAAATATAGGTTGTTTAAAAGCCGGTCACTGCACCTCCTGATAAACTCATCGGGGGTAGAGCTAGAAAGCCTCCCCCGCATACATTGCAATTTTTCTGCTCCAATAAAGCTAGCAGATAAACATAACTACTGTACTAGGAATCAAACAGCTTTGTTCTTGGCATAATTCTTGGAAAACGTACAAGCTACTCGTTTCAACGATATATTCAATATTTGTACAAATTAATCATTGACGTGAGACAATAACAGAAAGGAAAAACTGGTCCAATGGAACAACAATCTAATTTGTCTGAAATATATTTGTAGAAGGTTATTTTAAAATAACTGAATGAAATATTATTTAAATTAGATTTTGACCTGCAGAGTGAACAATATCGATAAGTAATGCATTGTACCACAAGCATTGGAAATTGACAACACTCACTGATTTAAAACTAACAAAAGAAGTTGGTCATTTAACAAGGCCAAACTCGAACTGAAAATTATATTTCCTTTGTATTGCCGCGCTAACTAATGCTGCTAAACACGAGCTATTTAAGTGATCTTTCCTCTGGCGTAATCTTGTCTCTTGTTCTCGAGTTTCAATATTAACTGGATAAACAGAACGTGCAGCGTTTTAAAATCTCTGATATCGCAACGATCAGTGGCTGAAACAAACAAACAGAAGAAGAGACCGACGTTTGTAAAGATGAACAAAATCATTGGAAGAGGATAAAAAATATCTCCTTCGACAAAGGTCCCAAACTAATATTCTCCAGCGAATGACTTTTATCAAGTGGACGTGAAAAAACGCGCTAACATGGCGACCATTTATCACCGTAGCTTCATCGTGAGTGGAATAAAACTTGTACACAAAAAAGTACACTTCCTAACTAAAGAGCTAACTTTAATATTCAATGATACAATGACGCGTGACAAAATTTAGATTGTCTACTGAAATAGCGTCTAATTCGACCGGGAATACGAGTTCTAATTTAATACATACGAAGAGAACGAGCACGGCAATTAAGCTTGAAATGTTCTGATGAAGTATTCTTAAATTGCCTTTTTGTTTAATTCGCTTCAATTTATGTATTTAGACGAAGCAAACACGGACCAATTTACGTATGTTTACACACACGTTTACGTCAACTTAGTCAATAGAGAGATCCTGCTTCTCTTATATCAGGGAGAGATAAGAGAGATATGTGGCAAGATATATATATATATATATATATATATATATATATATATGCAATGATTTACAGAGCCAATCTCTGTATCTGGAAAAGACACACGAAGCGAGTACATTGGAACTGTAAATGCGGTCACGTGCCAAATATATTTTCAAAGATGAAGAAAATTCATTTGACAGGGGAACGAAACTCCTTCCTCTGCCGTATTTTCTTTTCTTTTACAGTCTTGGAACCAAATGATTCTCGGAAAATTTTGCTTAACACATCCACAGTGACGAATCAATTTAATTCCACAAGTGAAGTAAAAAAGATCAGAATTCGAAGAGGTCTCGTTACTTGGAAAGGTTGGCCAAACAGAAATAAAGTGGGGCCGGTGCTTCAATTCTGATTCGAGCGTTCCTTTCTGGGTCATTGGTGTTTTACTGGATTTCTATAACAATTTCTTTACAACATCGTGACGTTCAATATAATAACAAACGATCCGACACATGTGCGCCCTACGTGTACAGTGATATGCATTCTTTTTAGCTACCTAATTACAGTCCAAATATTACACATAACTACACACCATTGAAATCTATGGGGGATACCTGGCCCAAATAGAATGTGTCGCAGTGGCGAATTCACTACACATTACACATTTAACAAGTAATATAAAAAGTCAGCATGCATGAGAATTCTATTTTATGATTTAACGTAAGTTAAGAGAAATGTTGCTTCAGTTATCAACAAATGACACCAGTCGATATATGCAATTAACCATAGACTATGTAGACTCATTTTGTACGTGTCATGTTGAACATATTGCCTATTGTTTCAAGTCAATAATTACAGTGGCAGTATTAATTAAACTTGAAAATGATCGTCGATATACTTCAAACTCATTGGGCAAATTTTTCAGATTCTCGACAAACGGCAAGTTGTAAATCAGTGTGTAAGAAGCTCGGCATGACCTAAACGTTTCGATGACGAATCGGTAAAATTATAAATGTACATATGACTTCGTACACATCACGATGGTATTTGCCAGCAGTTGTAACAGAGATCAGGTATCGGCTAAGGAACATGATTCACCATAATAGCTCGTTGCACTATCATGAAGCGGCAATGCATTCTTAAGCCGCTCTTGCAACAAACTAACTATTGCTTCCTCCGTTAATCACAATTGACGACTTCGTTTTTTTTTTTCAGCGGAAGCTGTTCTTAACAATGGAACATTGAATGGATAATTCTAAAACGACGTCGAAGGGACAATATTTTACAATATCATACAAATTAAATAAGGAAAGAAAAAATAATTTAAATGATAGTTCCGAACATATGCTCTTGCCATTACCGAGCTTGATAATATTAAGGCCAGCCTAGAATTCTTCTACTGAATCCTTCTAATTAATTCCTGCGTGTTGCACATTTGACATCTATACATATTGGCAGTGACTAAACGCTTAAAATCACTTTCAACTTAGGCGCAACCCAGACCTAGAATTCAAGAAAGACAAAAGTTTTCAGTCTCGATTGAAATCAAGAGCAAGACTTACGTAATACAAGCTAAAAGTATCTTAATGAATATATTTCGATGATGCATAAAGTGATCTTTATTGTGCGGCCGGTACGTCGTAGAAAAAGTAAATTAAAAACGTCGGCGTCGGCCTAGTTAGTTAAACGACGCGATGGTCACTAATTGCTGATAACGCTGCTGCAGCTTACACATCGGTGTAGAAGAAATGTAACACGTAAGAAAGCGATCGATCGAAGCGCACGAAATTGTTCGTGTTCTCGTGTTCTCACGAAGAGAATCATATAAAACAGCGAATATAGACGTGTATATATTCGAAATCAATCGGCACACCCATGAACAGAGAGACATGCACAGATATCGAGATACCTTCTCTAATCTATCTAATGGAGAAATTTTCAAATATTTCCAAATCGCTTATATATAGATTGCACATTTGTGTAAATTCATTAATCATTCGTATGAAAATGATAACTCATGCTTTATTTTATTATAAATATTATTATTTTATTATAAATATTAATGTTAATATTAATTTAGATACTTTCCGTAAGTTCTCTCGGGGGTTCAATCTTTTAATTTTGAACTCGTTCTGAAATATTTCTGTAATCGTTCTTTTTATGTGAAATATTATTTAGAATACGAATCTAGTTATTTTTAAAAATTATAAGAGCGATACGTAGAAAATATAAACCAAATCAATATCTATATCGTGTATTTTTTTTTTTATTTAAATCAGCAATCTCGCTGAATATGATAAAAAAAAAATTTACAAATAAGAATGACTAACTTTGACAAATATAAAATAAATTGGCAATTTAAATTGGAATTCAAAAGCAAGTTCTATTTTTTTTTTTTTTTTTAGGAATAAAATGGCCACAGAGAAATATCTATGTTCGAGCAAAGTTTGAGATTTTCATGGCATTGCATTATCCTATGGTACACGCTGCTAAAGAGTCAAAAATAGACACGCGTTCCCAGGGTTAAAACGTAAGCATTCTTCTTCATCTGGTTTGCAAGCAATGGCGAAAACAGAACATCCTGATGAAAACATTCGCCGTGCTAAAGAATGGAGGTTAAGTTTACATTTCAATAAACAAGCCACGCAAACTAAGAATATAAATGACGTGTGCTAGTTTCGACATTTTTTTTTTTTTTTTTTTTCTTTTTAAACTGCGAATATCGCCGCGCGCGAATGTGCGCTTGTATTACAAAACAAGAGAAGAATTCTTCTTTACACTGAAATACATTACACGCTCGCTCGATCCAATCCCATAACACGACAGAGACAAAATGGAAATTATATTCGTAGACTGATCTAAATATAAGTATTCTGATGAACGCTTGAAATCTTTTCACGCGACACATTTTCACAGCTCTGATATTCATTTTCTTTCAGTTTGATGAAAAGAAAATGTTTTTTTTTTTAGTAAAAAACACGATGAAACCGACAATTTTTCTTATAATTTTTTTTATAAGTTTTACATCGCTTGGTGGAAGTATTTTTAATGGAAGATTGCAACGAGAACAATATATTACAAAAATTCATCGAACCTCACAGCATTATAAAAGAGGAGAATAGCAAAACATCTTCAAAATCAAATAGAGAAGATATATCAGTCTTGATAAGATGTGCCTCGTCACATGTTTAGAACTGTGAGTGTTCTTTCCCAGTAAAACGATTTGAAACAAAAGATATTGAATTTGAGTACGGTACAAAGAACGGTCGCACTTCTTCGGTATATAAATATGATAGACTAGAATTTTCAACAAAAGACAGCTGAGAACTCGTTCTCGTGCGTTTCTTTATCCATCGCGATTCTTCACCGGAGATAAACACCGCGAGATGGAGAATTCCGCGGTTTACGTAATAACTGGCTGAACAGAAACTTCCGCGTAACGATCGCTAAAAGCCAGTAAAGTTTTCTGGGTGGACTGGTAAAATAGGGTCAATTGTTACGCAACAAAAGTTGCTTGGCGTGGGTACTTTGCGTACGTCTCTCTCGGAATGTAGCTGCAGCATCGAATGCGACCGAATCCCGGTGTCTCGCGTCGGTATAACCACCAGAGGTGCGCAATTCCGATGACCGCAAAGGTCAAAATCTCAAGTCAAATACATTTATCGGGTTGCATTTCAATCTCACGCGCTAGGATCTCCACGCGCATCGCATTGAACAATGTAAAAATATACCTGGCGTCTATTTTTATGTTATTACGAAGAAAATGTAATGCACGAAGAAAATACAACTTGTACATGTATTTTTATACACACACGCTGACAGGCTGAAATTATGAACCACTGCTAATAAACTTCAACACAGTTGGAAATAATCTCGATCAGTGAATGCCACCAACAGTTTATCGATGCCATACAGTTATCGATATGAAGCGACTTCGATTATCCTACATGTACATCGAATTAAGATGGTTGCCTACGACACACCTGATAATTCGGATATCTCAACCAAGTATCTAAAAACTATATATAATGATAATGGAATCAAGAGCTTAATTAGTCCATACCTGGACTTCTTTTAAACCTACTTTATAGAAATTAGTCATTCGTAGAAAAAATCGTAATCGGTTGAAAATCGGTTGATGGTATCACGTATTCGACGCCGCGCTGTAATACTTGCGGTATAATCGAAACTAAAAATAGAATTTCATAATTTGTCAAGATGTGTCACCTCCATAAATGCCAAATATTCACGAAAATTATACTTAAAAAATATATGTATTAAATCTAATTTAAAGTGACTAATTTTTGCATATAGAACACATGTGGAAAGTGCAACCATATTAAATTTAATAAAGTAACCTTGCTTGCAATTAACACGATAAAGACACGTCTCAGGCGGCATCGTGTGACATGTGCGTCACAATAAACTCATCGAATTATAATCAAGATACAGATAACTAATTGGAAAAGGCGGCACGAAAGAAATTTCTTATCCTACAAGAATTTTAATGAAAGCCGAAGAGTATCTATTTTAGAAGCACCATTTCTCTCAGGAATAAGAGTAACATCCTCCATTTGTCGCTAGTCTTCAACCTCTCCACGTCAATTTTAAGACAGTAGAAACGACAATGTAATATTCTGACAAATAAGTTAGGACAAACACACACACACACACACACACACACACACACA